CCTTCCTCCCCACCTTCCCCCAACCTCTCCTTCCTCCCCACCTTCCCCCAACCTCTCCTTCCTCCCCACCCTCCTCTTTGGTAATATATGCAGCGGTACTGATGCAAGCACGAGTTTATCCTGGAGCGACTTGCATTACATACGAAAACAAGCGCATCGCAAAACGCGCTCCTCGCAGCAGCAGCAGACATTAATATTCTCTTTGTCTGCTGGCGTAGCGGAGTGTAGCGGAGTTGGGTCGACACGATGCGCGCGCGCGGCAGCGGGGCAAGCAAGGCGTCTGCTATCAACTCACGGCGTCATCGTCGTCGCCGCTGCTAATCACGTCACGTGACAGTCGGCTACTAACATCGTCGCTCTTATTATGGAAAATAGGAGAAAAAAATCGTTTCGTCAATCAACAAGTAGGCTACTGCTACTGATGCGGCTGCTGCTGCTGCTGCTACTACTGCTGCTGCTGCTGCTGCTGCTGCTACTGCTGCTGCTGTTGCTGCTGCTGCTGCTACTACTACTGCTGCTGCTACTGCTACTACTGCTGTTGCTGCTGATGCTGCTGCTGCTGCTACTACTGCTGCTGCTACTACTGCTGCTGCTACTGCTACTACTGCTGCTGCCGCTGCTGGTGCTGCTGCTGCTGCTGCTGCTGCTGCTGCTGCTGCTCCCGCCGCATCCCGGTTGTGTCTATGATCAGCGTGAATCTCCCCCTCCCCCGTTATAAGCGCTGCGGTTTACTGCTCAACGTGTTAATTAGGGCTTCCTAGCCGACCATCTGCCTTACATCTGCGCGACAGATGGTCACGTGACTAGCAGACGCCTCCAGCCGCCGGAGCGGGCCGACGCCGGGAGCAGGTTATAGACTGCCACCCACCCCCTCGGCAACGACGGACTACAGACAGGGATTCGACGTGGAGTGCCCGTCTAGGTGCAGATCTTCCGACTGAAGGTGTCCGTTGAGGTGTGGACGGATGGCGTGATGTACTCTGGCGGGTGGTCGGAGGGGGGGGGATGCGTTTACTGGTGTCGTCATCCTAACACACTAACAACTCGCTGACACTCACATGCTACCACTCACTCCTCCACAGTTTCCCGTATATCTATTTCCCAGTGTAGCCCCTTCAACCAGGAACCAGTGCGGGGAGAGCGAAGGGGCTACATTGGTACATTCTGTATATCTCCTCCAAGCTGAGATGGCGACTCGGGGTCGTATGTCTATATAAAATCATGTGGAATGTACAATTCATCCCTCAGGCATCCGCCAAATCTGTAAGCTAGTATATATATATAGTCTATGTTCGGTTATTATTACTTAATTACGCGTTTCTGCGCTGACGTCAACGTTAGCGTATAATGGGAACACGTATAATGATAATGTGAATTTATAAGAACTATTTATAGACGCTTTATTTGTTATAATATCGTACGTTAATTATTGGCTTTGTGGGGAAGTGTTGCGTTACTGAGGGGAGCTGCGTGGTTAGGTCGGTTCAAATGTCAATACGCCTGAAACACGCGAGGACTGAACTCTCTAGCTACTAATAATTACCAATTATGACAGCAACGGCCGTTAAAAAAGCTTTCACGTGTATTGCCTTTAGGTTTTAATGGAAAACCAACCAACGAGTGAAAAAACGAGTCAGGTAATTTGCCGTGAGGGTTATTCTGTGGCTCGCGTGACAACGCGCAAAGGTGCGTGTCGGCAAGCTTGCTGGTGAGATGCTGGGTATATATATATATACTTACTTTACTGTGACTTTACTTATATATATATATACCTGCTCACAGGAGGATTGGATTTTCCAGGGGGTATTTTGCTTCATTTTCCAGTAAATGTTGGGGCTTGATTTTGACGATACAGATGATTGAGGGGGAGGATGGTGTGAATATTTTCTGAAACTATACAATATTGTTTTCTATTGTCAAGAGTTGCTATTCAGTAATCAGTTCAATTGGAAAATATGTGTAAACAAACCATAAAAACATCATGATTGCTGTACATTTCTATCTTGCTCTGATGACACGTCATTGAAACATTTACTTTGTATCAAACATTTTAATGACTCAATGGATTGGAGAGGCTTGGAGGAAGCTGAAGGAACAATAGAGAATTTCTGAAGAGATTATTTGAGAAAACTGGCTGCTTGATAACAGTTGATGGATCAGATGACAACATAATCAGCCCTCAAGGACTAGAAAATTATGAGATCTAGACAATGTGCATTACATTTCGTTTAGAGCAAGCTCGTATAAATTTGGTAATTTAATTTAATTATCAGAATATTTGCTTGCATTTACTAGTTTAAATTAAGCTGTGTTATGTTACTGTAATGCAGTTATGCTGGCAATGAATTATTGCCTGTAGGCTGTACTGTCTACTATTAGTCAAATCAATTTTCACAGCATTTGACCTTTCATTGTGTTTAATATGATAAGTAAATTAAAGGTGATAAATAAATTAACTCAAATGAATTTAAACAGACATAATTTCTAATATTATGCAGTTGGTTAATTAATTTGTGTCAATTATTCACTAATTAAAGCCAATTTTACCTAGATAATGTACACAATATCCCCCCTCCCTCCAAATTAAGAACCTCTTCAGGCTGATTTCTCAATATGTATCATATATATAAGAACCACTTCAGCCTGAAACAGAAAATCACGGGTTCTTTTATGCGGGTGTTTACTGTAGACAGATAGAGAGATGAACAGATGAACCAACAGTGACGTCACGATGTCGACTCGGGGATTTCTTATCTTCGCTCACCTGCCGCGAACCATCATCAACGATCGTATATAGCCGCCTACGCCGATGCAACGATTGTTTTAGCGCGAACTTTGCAAAAAAACAACTTAGACTGACACAACAAGTCCTTTGAGAATCACTTCGCGGACCCCGAGTACCTTCTGGTGGACCTTGTGGGATCAACTACGAGGATATTTGGAGTCAGTCTATAGAGAAACATTCGCGGATTCTGCTGGGTGTTGTTTACGGGCGTATCGATACCTCATTGGGTCTTGAAATCACGTGACCTTTGCTGTAGCAGATGGAAACATAGACTGGTACCCCGCATCTACATATAGAACGATACAGAACATAGTGTAGAGACAGCTGGTACCAGTCTAGTATAATCAGCGCAAATGACGACGTAGCGCTTATATTACTGAAATCCGATATTGCGCCCACGGTGTCACGTGACTTTCCCAAGTATCAAAGACCTACGAAGGTTCAGAGAACAAAACATTCTGTGAGGTTTCGGAGAGTATTCGATCGATGTGAAGATAACAAATGTGCTCCGATACCTGCTAGGAAAACTAAGGGTTCAAGGATAGAGAACATGGG